ACATGGCAATTCACATACTGTTTCATTGGCTTGTTATGTGATTTAACATAACCAGTGTGGTGCACCTAACGAATAACATTCCACAGAGGGATAGCTGATGTTAATGCAGCCCTAACTTTGAATTAATTACATTCAAAAGCATTGTAGAAACATATTACATGATGAATCTCTCAATGATGCTTGATTATTTGAAACTTGTCTCTCTGGCACTGGATGTTACAGAAGAAAAGACGAAAGCTGTAGCTCTATCAAGGCATTGCTGCTTGCTCAGTTCCTAAGTCATGTTTGTGTTAGACTTAGACACACAAAAAGAGCAGCCTGATATTTGAAGTACATAATTATGCACATTCTTCTTCCCCGAGGAAAGGAACATCAGAGCTAAGTCTTTTAGGCAAGAAGCATCTTTGATTCAGAAATACTGTGAGCATCCTTAATGTCCCATGACTTTTACCTACAGCAGTTTTAGTCTTAGCATGCTGGGGATGGGGGGCGGTGAACATTTATATCTTTAGTGCATATCATGAATTGATCCGTTATGACACTTATGTATAAATAAGACACACTCAGAAAGGCAAGAAGAACTGGGGCAAAAGTGACTCTGAATCACTCTCGGTTAATGCTTCCCCTTTGACTTTCTCACAATAGAGAAATAATTATCAAGAAGACGAACTTTTAATAGCTCTTTAATGAAGGCGTCTTGATACTTCCGCTTCTCTAATTTAAGAACATTTTTGCTCTTCCCTCTTAGTTCTGATGTTCTAAAAGCAAATTTAGCGTGAAAGACATGCATCCGAGAGAAACTCAATGTCTACGGGTATAAAATGGGCTGGCCTTATGCAGAAAAAGCAGAACATGCATAGGCAGCTAGCTGTGTCAATATTCAGAGGTACAAGATTTATTTGACAGTGTGGCCTAAGCAATACTTGGGGAATTCAATCAGATGATGTGGTTAACAAAATCCAAATGAGGAAGGAAGTGCTATCCTAGACAAATTAGTGAAATAGGCAAAATATGTATTGTGTGGCATCACCTCTCTAGACCTTCCCACCTTCTACCCCTCCCTGTAACCAAGTGAGGAAGTGTTTACCCAGCATCCTATTTGTTTATGTCCAAAGGCTCATCTTTTTCTAACAGTTCAAAGATGCCCCAGTAAGCATCTACTAAGCACTGAAGATCAAAATCCACACAGGAATTTGTCATGGTGCCAATTCTCCCAATATCTTGCAGGTCAGCAGAGAAGACAGAGCAAGGGTGTTGCTAAGTGAAATAGAAGAGAGCCGAGCTAAGGGAAGAATGAAGAGCTGCAGAGGAGAGAGGGAAACCGTGGACTGGACAGGCGCTGTAATCCTAGTGGGAGAGGAGACATGCTGTGGCAGATGCAGAGACAGTGGTTCAGTGAAGACCTTATAGGAAGAGAATGAAAATATTCTAGATTTAGTGATTTTGCTTTTGTCTTCATTCATGAATTTTGCTGGGCAAACCAGGTATATTTCAAACCCTTAACTCTTCTGCCTCGGCCTCTTCAGTGCAGAGACTATAGGTGGGCACCATGAGGTATAGCTGAAGATTTTTGTATAATTACAAAAATGCTATTTAAATGAAATAATCCTAGCACTGTAGTAATTTACTTCTAAAAAAAACCCAAAGATTAAAGGGTATGAATATGAGCCCCATGCAACTTCGTAATTTTATGGAAGTAAAGAAAAGAAGAAAAATCCCATGGGAATATAGCTTGGTTTGTAGAAGGCTTGCTACATAAAACTCTGACTCAATAAAAGTTAATAAATAACAATTCTAACAAATCTTCAAAAGAAATAAGACGGCAGCTGTAGGAGCATCTTCTCCCATCCAGTAGGAGGGCAAAAGGAAAGTGCCTCCTTTTTATTACCACACAGTCTACAACATGATCAAATATATTGAACCATGCACAAAAAAAAAAAAAAGCTTTAGTAATAGGGGGACCTGTCTTTTCCTACAGAGACAGACTGGACTGGAGGCCTCAGCCACCTACGTGGCTCATTAGACAGCTTTAATGAGTGACTCCATTTTGGAAGCAACCCAGGCCTGAAATAAAGATGAAAAGGCTACAAAGAGGGAACTAACTGTTGCCTTTAGGCAGGCAAATCAAAGTATCTTCACCTGGGAAAAGGGAGAAAAAAAATCTCTTCAAAGTGTTATTCTTCTTTTTCTCATTTTGACTAACTCAGACCAATGGATATTCCAATAGAATCTCTCTCTCTCTCTCTCTCTCTCTCTCTCTCTCTCTCTCTCTCTCTCT